TGAAATTGCAAGAATAATCACTTCAGAAAAGTGATTATTTATGAGTATAATTTTGTGGTTTATAAGCCATATTTTACCATATTTTTTTCCCATATTTTGCATGGTATATTACAAATTACAGATGACCAGGGAGACTTTACAAATCACTAGTAAATATAGCCTGCTAAATTTGGCTGAAGTATTGAAAAATATTAGTGATTAGAATAAGAAAAGGTAGATCAATGAACAAAGAGCCATTTGATCATTTTCTTAAACTTCTCCAAAAAGAAAGAATGATGTTTGTTTTAAAGATAAATACAAAAATAGATTTGACCGAAAAAACTTGCTTACCTCTTCGTAGTTCATATAGCGATCAAAAGTAACGTTGCCCTTCGGGAGTTCCCCCTTTTGGCTATAACGAAGAGGGGTCAACATCAGTCTGTTAGGGCGAAAGGCATAATCAGAAAGAACCACAAAGCACAGGGACACATCTCAAATACGAATGCATACACGTGTCCCTCCCCCCCTCTCTCTCTCTCTTTCTCTCTCACACGCACGCACACACGCACACACACACACACACACACACACACACACACACACACACACACACACACACACACACACACACACAAAAGTATATATATACATATATAATGGTATTTTCCAAACATTACTATTATCACCGTCAATATTGCTATCATATTAATTTTACCGTTGTTGTTACTGTTACTATCATTGCCATGATTATATCCATTTCTACTATCATAATCATTATTGTCATCATTATCATCACTATTATCATTATTTTTATTATTATTGTTGTTGCTGTTGTCATTATATCACTGCTATTACTAGTATTAGTAGCAACATTATTACTGTTATTTATTTTGTTGTTATTATCATTATTATTGTCTTTATTATTATAATTATTATTATCTTCATTATTATCATTATTACTGTTATCATCATCATCATCATCACTGCTACTATCATCATTAGTATTATTATCATTATCATAATTATATCGCCGTGCACGTGCTAAAGTGTTTTATTGAATTTTGGCAATTCTTTTTATGCATTCTCATTTTTTTCAAGAAAACGCAAGGAAGTCCACTTACTGGGAGAGATCTCGACTCTGGATCTGGAAAACCACGCCCGCACCCGCTAGTTTCTGCGCAAAGTGAAGCAGCTCATCTTGAGACACGGCGAATACAGTTGCTCCTGTGCATGTAAAATGGTAGTATTAGTGGTATTTATACTATCAAGATATCTATATTTAGAATGATATTGGCAGTTACTACCATTAATGCTATCCTTACTATCAATATCATCATCACCATCACCACCACCATCATCATCATCATCATCATCATCATCATCATCACCGTCTTCATTAACGTTACATCACCATCCTCACTACTATCACAGTTAGAGATAAAAATAACAATAATCATAATGATCACAACAGAGGTATGGCCCAAGTAAGAACGTGACGTGGGCATCAGTAATGAGGCATTGCACTCAGAAGGCGTCCAGTGCACTGTGCTACATTTGTGCTTTCTCATCCCAACACCACATGCCTTCAAACCCTGACCTTTTTCCCTGGCGAAGCCGAGGAAGTTCACATGTCCGGGGCGTCCCAAGTTCTCCAGGACGGCCAGCGGGGTGGATGACATCACCTCCAGCTCGACCCACCTGCAACGACGCGCCTCGGGTAAAACGCTTGCATGAGGAGGGCATTACTCTGGCCAGACCTACTTATTCTTTCCTGTGCGCTGAAGAAGGCCAACATTTTTGTTTCGTTTCATTATGTGATTCTCATTTAAACCTTGTTAGTCTAACTGTAATGAGGTAATGGTTTACATTTAAGAACAGTAAGACACACAGTTGTAAAAAAAATGTAATTACATAAGGTATAGATCTTAAATGACTTTGTGTATATAGCATAAAATTGATGTTGTCACATCATACCTTTCAATGATTTTTTCATTAACATATAAAAATTCAAAGTGCAATTAATACGATGTTCAAACCACCCGCCCAGGAAAAGCTTACATTAAAAATGAAAGGCGCTGACCTGAGAAAAAACCTGCCTTTACAGTTAGCCCGTGAAAATTTGTGTTCTAATGATTTCTTTTCTTCCTACTTCACACAACCTGTCTCTTCCTGTTAACTCACCCAGCATAGGCGTGGTCGGCCACCGGGCCAGCGTGCTGACCCAACGCAGCCGCAGCCAGAACCAGCTGGCACAAGCCTTGCCACAGTCTCATCTTCAGCCTGCAGGGAATGGCCAGCCAAAAGTATTAAACGCATTTCAACATCATGCGTGTGTATTGCCACACAAATCAACGTGCGCGCACACACATACACACACGCACACACATACACACACACATACACACACACACACATACACACACATACACACACACACACACACACACACACACACATACACACTACACACACACACACACACATACATCCACACACACACACACAACACACACACACACACACATAACACACACACACACACACATACATCCACACACACACAACACACACACACACACACACACACACACACACACACACACACTCACTCATATATATATATATATATATATATATATATATATATATATATATATACGTATCAGTTATAATATACATGATTATGCATTTTTTCACACATCATATATACATTCATATACATATGCATATTCCTTTTTATTCATTCATATATACATATATGCATATACATAAATATGCATATATACATGAATATCAATTATATATATATAAATGATATAGATAGATAGATAGATTTACCAGTCAAATTTATATACATATGCATATTTATTTCCATTCATGAAATGGAATGATCACTGGGCTGATCAGCCGTGACAGGAGCCATAAAATAAGCAAAGTTAAGGCCCCAAGTTTTTTTTTCTTAGCCCGCAGTTCTATCTAACTAGGAATGCTATATCTGCTGTGTATTCATATCCGTAGTGTTTGACGAACTACTTGGCGCCATGTTGACATCCTGTAGTCTTTATACTGGGGTGGCTGACCAATGAGCCTTTCCCCAGGGGAGTAGTTGTTTAGGTAATCATTGTTGGTGGTTCTCAACTCACCATCATATTTACCATTGACTCACCCATTACCGTGTCTAGGTTTAACTTCTCCACTATATCCATATATGCGATGTGCGTGTGTAAGAATGCATACACATGCGGGTGATTTGTGTATTCATGCGCACAGGTGTGTGTGCGTGTGTGTGTGTGTGTGTGTGTGTGTGTGTGTGTGTGTGTGTGTGTGTGTGTGTGTGTGTGTGTGTGTGCATATATATATATATATATATATATATATATATATATATATATATATATGTATATACATATATGCAGATAGATAGGTAGCTAGATAAATATACATATATATATATATATATATATATATATATATATATATGTATGCATTTTTACCTATATATACATATATACATGTATATTATATATATATGTTTATAATATATATACATATATATTTATATATGTAAATATATATGTATATATATTCATACATATAAATATATGTGTATTTATCCATATAAATGTATACATATTTACATTTATATATATATATATATATATATATATATACATATATTTATATATATATATATATATATATATATATATATATATATATATATGTGTGTGTGTGTGTGTGTGTGTGTATGTGTGTGTGTGTGTGTGTGTGTGTGTTTCCATACATATGTATCTGAACAACGTGCATGTTTATTAGTTCGTCTGCCAGACGAAAAGGTCGAATTACAGAGACTAGTCGTGAGCCCGTTACAGTCCAGCCAGGCAGGTTTTATCGGTAACGTGTTCTGCGTGTGGCTTCACTTAACTGTGTCTCCCCATATACATAGTGCAAGTGAGCTTGCAGTGGTCTCTTGTGTTAGCTTGAACCGGTTTGATGCTGCCCGGTCAACTGCGCATTGTGGGCTGCAGGAAATGCACGAAAGAACCGTTCAACCTAGACTCGGTATTTAGGGCAACAAAAATGCAACGCGTTCTGTTTACCGTGATCCTGGTTTTACTGGAAAATAAGCTTACAAATTCCGTGCAGAATTTCTGACTCAAAGGAAACATGAGATTATATGGTGATTCATCGAATTGCATTCATTACATAAAGGGATATTAAATGGTCGTAAGACCTTGTGATATCGATGAATAGCATATTCTATATCGTATATTTATAAATGAAAAAAAATATATGGTGACGATGTTGGCCTCGATAACTGGGAAGCACATGAAATGTCTCAAGGAAGTATGCTATCAAACCATCTAATAACAACTGTTAGTTATGTTAATTGCAAGCAAATAAAGTATGCTATCGCACCATCTAATAACAACAGCTTGTTATGCTAATTGAAAGCAAATAAAGTTTGCTATCAAACCATCTAATAACAATAGTTAGTTATGCTAATCCCAAGCAAATAGAGATACGCCATTTCGAAAGAGGTATATTCCTTTATAACCCTCAGATAAAAGCCAGTAGCCTGCATCCATGTACATTCTAGCAAGATTTACCTTGAACTGGTTCCTGACTTGTCGATAGATCTCGAGGCAGGCCTACAAGCTCAATTTTCCAGTTATACGCGGAATATGCTTTTGACTCTTGCTGAAGCAATAGACCGCGGCCATCACTTTGATTACGAACAAAATTATTAATTGTTATCTCTGTGAACCACAAGCAATATACCTAGTAAACAGGCATCATAAACTGCCCATCGGTACCACAAGGGTAATTCATTTGGGTAACGCGAAATTAAATCAAATCTTTACCAGATAGATGCCGGTTTTCGTAACCTCTAGTTCTTCCCACCGAAGATGCAGATTGTTGATGCAACTCACCAGTAATATGCAGGACAGCGGACACGTGCTCTCACCGAAACAACGGGGAGGCCACTGCCTGCACCGGCCACGGGACGGAGCCTCGAA